GGATAGATGGATTATGAATGGATGGATGGATGGATAGATAGATGGATGGATGGATGGATGGATGGATGGATGGATGGATGGATGGATGGATGGATTATGGATGCATAGATGGATGGATGGATAGATAGATGGATTATGAATGGATGGATGGATGGATTGATGGATGGATGGATGGATGGATGGATGGATGGATGGATGGATGGATAGATGGATGGATTATGAATGGATGGATGGATTATGGATGGATGGATTATGAATGGATGGATGGATTATGGATGGATGGATGGATGGATAGATGGATGGATGTATGGATGGATGGATGGATGGATGGATGGATGTATGGATGGATGGATGGATGGATGGATGGATACATTAACCTCTCTGTACTTCTTCAGGCTTTGGTGAACTGTTTGGAGATGTTGGAAGACAAGGACGTGGACACCAGAGTTTGTGGATGTAAAGCTTTAGCGTGTCTCAAGGTATGAACACAGGTTGTTTGTCCAGCTTCTCCATCTTGACAAAAAAGATATTTTCTGTCTCCTGTTTATTGGAGTGTTCATATTCAAAGAGGATATAAACAAAACATGATATAAGCTTGATGAACAATCCCAAATACTAGACCTCTTAACTAGTGCCTAATGTATTGTAAAAAATCCACAGACTATAATGTTTATGTCTTCTGCTGTTGTGCTTCACTGTGTATATTGTATGTGTGTGTATTGGAGAGACATCATCTTCAGGAAACAAATTYCWTGTGTGTGTCAACATACTTGGCCAATAAAGCTGATTCTGATTCTGAGAGTAAGCTGTGTGCCTCACAACATTTGCAATGCGAGACTTTTCCTGAACGTGTTTCACTCAAAATGATCTCAGATCRGTCAAAAGGTCCTCATGCCCTTCTCAGTAAAGTCTCAGTAGGTTTTAGAGGTCCAGAGGTATACTTTGACACCTCCATCTTCCCGGGAGAAGATTAGCCAATTACTAAAGCAGGCACAATGTATGGGTTAAAGCTCAGAGTAGAGCTGCTGCTCCTCTGCATCGAAATAATTCAGTTGAGGTGGTTCATCTGAGCAGGACGTTTCCTGGTCGCCTCTCTTTGGATGTTTCCCAAGCAGCATTCACTGGAAGAGACACTGAAGCAGACCCAGAACTTGATGAAAGGATTGTGTATCTTTTCTGGCCTGGGAACAGCTCKGGGTCATTGCTACACAAAGCTTTCTAACCGATCTCCAAAGCAAAAACATCCCACATAATTTGCTCCTGTATGCCGACTCTTTGGTATTCCATCATAAATGTGTTGCCTAAAGTAAAAAAAAAAACCTCATGAAAACATTTAAACTTGTCTTCTTTACTTCCTGAATGCAGCTCGTTACCAAATYATTAAAGGTCTTTTGGTCGTCACAGCTGTGTTTTAACATTTCTTCATTTCAGGCTACAGAAAGCATCGTACAGCTGATGTATCTCTACCAGACGGACGGGCAGGAAGTTCAAGAAGCTGTCATGCAAACTCTGCTGGAGCTAGGTAAAGAAAACCATCATGTTTCTGTTAATTATGCCAAGGAAGAGTAAAACCATACAGATAAAATATGAATTTTTCTGATTGTAACACAATTAAAACCTGTTTTTCTCTCTCTTGTTTGTTCTGTGGAGCAGGCGATGAAGGGAAGATGGCTCTCAGACGTTTGGAAATGTCTCGGGACATCTTATTGGACCAAGAACAGTGGCCGGACCGGCCTTCTACGAGCTCATACGAGCATCCTTCGAGCAGTCAATGCTAATGCACGTTTATTTTTACCATGATGGCACCAGAATACCAGCTGTTCTGCTCTGCACCTCACTGGAACACCAGCTTCAGTACTTTATTATAAACCATGGATGCTAACAGAGGACATTAAATTTTCATTGTGTTTAACCTTTTTAAAATGAAATAATCATAAAACAAAGTTTATTAAACATTTATAACTTTTGTCAGAGAATCAAACTGTTTCTGTTTTGACCAAAATAAACAAATGTGTCCAAATGGATGCCTTCAGAAAACAGCAAAGAGTAAAAACATGGATAGAAATACACAATACAGCTCAGTACTTACTGGGTTTGAACCATGTATCGAACCTGATGCATGTCTAGTACTTATTGGGTATATACTTGGTGCCAATGGGGTATGTAACCTGGTACTTACATGGTACAAGTAAAAGTATCATTTTTAGCTTTAAAATGTAATGGAATTAAAGTAAAAGTAGCTGTTTAAAAAATAATTGGTAAAATTACAAATCTTCAAATGAACTATTTAAGTACTGTAACGAAGTAAATGTACTTTGATATGAAACTAGATTCGAGCTCTGATAAAAGACCGGACCACGATAAAAGATTTAACAATTTATTATTYATGAAAACAAACTTGACGTCAGTCTGGTTTGGCAACGGATCTGGGTCAGTCAGATCTGGACACAGAAAAATGGTGGGACAGGACTGGTAAATGATTAAAGCATTAATCAAAACCACCAACATGTTCTTCGCTGGTTGAGTCCGGGAAGAAACACTGACAGTGTTGGTTTGGTTCCGGAGGTAAGCGATGACATCCAGGAAGTCCRAAGAAGTGAAGTGCCCTTCAGGGGAGAGACGAGAGCCAAAAAACCAGAACAAGGGTCATTACCGTGGGAGCAGATGACTGGACCAATCAGAGAGGGGCTGAGGCAGGAGTCGAGAAACCAGAGGACATTAGGAGATAGACTGTGAACATAATCAAAAAAATGGCAACCATCATAACAGTATTTATTTACTAAAAATTACCCTAAAATTAACCTCACAGGTACTACCTGACCCTAAAACTAACCTAAACATTCACACCTTGATCCTAAAC